CTGTGGTGCCATTATATGTCCCATACGGATTCTAGTCTATTCCTCCATTCCCTTTTAAAACGGAATTGTATCCTTTCCAGTAAAGTTTCTGAAGCAAATTGTCTCAAATAGGGTGGGGAGAGGACTAGCCCTACCCCCAGCCCTCTTACTTTCTCATCCAGACATGGGACCGGTAATGGTGGAGATCACAGGATGATAGAAATGGTAAAATGCTGTTCGCTTTACGGTGACTTTCGAAATAATATAATTAAAGTAACAGAAAATGTATTCATCGACAGTCACAGAAAGAAATAGATTTTAGAAGTAGAGGAGTAGAAGTAAAGAAGTAGAGTCTGTTTATTTATGGCAAATAATATGATGTTTTATTTGTATTTGTCTTTACAGATTCGCGAGCCTATTGGGTCAGATCCTGAGTGAGCTGGCAATTGATGGGAGAACTCAGCATGATATATCTGCCTTCTCTTGGGACAGGGAGGGGCTGACTGATCCTTATTTCAAACCTGTTTTCACCATGGGCTCGGAGAAGAAGAGCAAGCTATAAATACGCCAGCTGTAGCGGCTGGAAATTGTTGGCAAATTACAAATGGAATGTCGTCCGTGTGGAACTTACTTGTTTTATGGCGAGAAAATATGCTGAAAGAAAGAGTGCAGTGGGGACATAATGTTTACAACAATTTGACAGAATCGGGAGATGGGAGAAGGATACACGAAACACAGAGCAACGGAGAATGAGTAGGAGAAGGATGCCTATAGAAGAAGAAGAAGAAGAAGAAGAAGAAGAAGAAGAAGAAGAAGAAGAAGAAGAAGAAGAAGAAGAAGAAGAAGAAGAAGAAGAAGAAGAAGAAGAAGAAGAAGAAGAAGAAGAAGAAGAAGAAGAAGAAGAAGAAAGAGGAGATGGCGTTGGAGTAGAAGATGAAGAAGTACGACGAAGACAATAAAAAGAATTAAAAGTAGTAGCAGCAGCATTTGTTCTAGTAGTAGTAGTAGTAGTAGTAGTAGTAGTAGTAGTAGTAGTAGTAGTAGTAGTAGTAGTAGTAGTAGTAGTAGTAGTAGTAGTAGTAGTAGTAGTAGTAGTAGTAGTAGTAGTAGTAGTAGTAGTAGTAGTAGTAGTAGTAGTAGTAGTAGTAGTAGTAGTAGTAGTGGTAGTAGTAGTAGTAGTAGTAAGTAGTGGTAGTAGTAGTAGTAGTAGTAGTAGTAGTAGTAGTAGTAGTAGTAGTAGTAGTAGTAGTAGTAGTAGTAGTAGTAGTGGTAGTAGTAGTAGTAGTAGTGAGTAGTAGTAGTAGTAGTAGTAGTAGTAAGTAGTAGTGTAGTAGTAGTAGTACGTAGTAAGTAGTAGTAGTAGTAGTAGTTAGTCGTAGTAGTAGTAGTAGTTAGTAGTAGTAGTAGTAGTAGTAGTAGGTAGTAGTAGTAGTAGTAGTAGTAGTAGTAGTAGTATAGTAGTAGTAGTAGTGGTAGTAGTTAGTAGTAGTAGTAGTAGTAGTAGTAGTAGTAGTAGTAGTAGTAGTAGTAGTAGTAGTAGTAGTAGTAGTAGTAGGTAGTAGTAGTAGTAGTAGTAGTAGTAGTAGTAGTAGTAGTAGTAGTAGTAGTAGTAGTAGTAGTAGTAGTAGTAGTAGTAGTAGTAGTAGTGGTGGTGGTGGTGGTGGTGGCAGTAGTAGTAATGGTGGTGGTAGCGGCGGCGGCGGCGGTAGTATTGCAATAGTAGTAGTAGTAGTAGTTAGTAGTAGTAAGTAGTAGTAGTAGTGGTAGTAGTAGTAGTAGTAGTAGTCCTAGTGGTAGTAGTAGTAGTAGAGTAGTAGTAGTAGTAGTAGTAGTAGTAGTAAGTAGTGGTAGTAGTAGTAGTAGTTAGTGGTAGTAGTAGTAGTAGTAGTAGTAGTAGTAGTGGTAGTAGTAGTAGTAGTCGTAGTAGTAGTAGTATCTAGTAGTAGTAGTAGTAGTAGTAGTAGTAGTAGTAGTAGTAGTAGTAGTAGTAGTAGTAGTAAGTAGTAGTAGTAGTAGTAGTAGTAGTAGTAGTAGTAGTAGTAGTAGTAGTAGTAGTTAGTAGTGTGGGTAGTAGTAGTAGTAGTAGTGGTAGTAGTAGTAGTAGTTAGTAGTATTAGTAGTAGTAGTTAGTAGTAGTAGTAGTAGTAGTGGTAGTAGTAGTAGTAGTAGTAGTAGTAGTAGTAGTAGTAGTAGTAGTAGTAGTAGTAGTAGTAGTAAGTAGTAGTAGTAGTAGTAGTAGTGGTGGTGGTGGTGGTGGTGGCAGTAGTAGTAATGGTGGTGGTAGCGGCGGCGGCGGCGGTAGTAATTGCAATAGTAGTAGTAGCAGCAGTAATAGTAGAAGTAGTTTGAGGATGAAAAGAATACAGAGGCAAGAAAGGATTTAGGAAAGGAAGGATAAGTATTTGTGTTGATATTCATTATAACCTGAAAAGAGTCACGTGTAGTCGAGAGTATTTGCACAGTGGCTGGTGAATACGTCAAACACGGATGTTTGTGGTTAACCGTCAGAGAAGTGGCTAATTAACGTTCATTGCTTAACTCTGCTGACTGTTGTTTATTGAGAATAAAGTTTAGATTTTGATTCTGTTATTGTTCTGTCTGTTGTTGTTGTTGCTGTCATTGTTGTTGTTGTTGTTAGCATGAGAAATGCTGCGGGACAAGAAGTTGAGACAGTCACCAATGAAGAACTAAGAACAATTGTTGGCACAGTACCGGTAAATGATTTCATAGAACAATCAAGAATCAAATGGTTTGGTCACCTGGTCAGAATGCAACAAAAATCAGCCAGTAGCTAGAGCACAGTAAACAGCAGGCTACAAGGCAAGAGGTCGACTAAAAAGGAGACTGATTGAGGGACTAAAATAGACACTACGAAATCACAGTATGAAATTAGCACATTTAGCAAAAGAAAGGAAACTACTTACAACTCTTTTTGACGCTGTGAAAAATAAGTAGAAGGATAAAAGAAGGTATTGTTTAATAGTTTATTGTTGTTTTAATAGCTTTTGGTTTTCTTTTTCTTTTTTTTTTTTTCATCCTGTTCTTCTTTTTCTGCTTCTTTTCCTACTTCTTTTCTTCTTTCTTTCTGCATAAACATAATCGCCTAGACTGGAGATCTGATATAATACAACTCGCTGGCTATCACGAATCGGATCATCTTCGACAACATCGACCTGCATTGTTTGCCTTTTCACGTGGGCAACCACCTATTTGATTTTAATTGTGTTAAAATATGATTCGTATGGCAACAGTGAGAAATTCTTGGTCTGCCGACCACAATCGGTCATTCTTGGTTAGCGAGCAGTTTAGCTGTGATGCATTTACCCTTCTGTTTATCTTGTTCTGTTTCTATATACTAAATCAATCAATAATCTAGAAAGTGGACAGATCAACTAAAGAATAACTCTTTTTGCATTGAGCCTTCTAGTCACTATGTTTATTGTATGGAGTTACAGTGTACTTTTGTTTTAGTAGCGGTACGCCTAGCTGCAGAGCTTTGCATAAATCCATATAATCATCCAAGGGCCAGCTACAAGTAGGCAAGCAAGGCTATTTATTTTCGCTGATTGATCACAGTCGATCAATTTGCGCATTCTGTGAAAACTATTGTGGTACCTGGATTACAGCTAGCTAATTAGAAGCAATCATTTTTGTCAGTCGTGCCTTGTCAGACACAGTGAATTACCCGGGACAAGTCTTTATACTGCGCGCTTTCACCTGGTTTCAGATTTTGAATTATCGAAGGTCACTTGGGAAAACATCACTTTTAGGGTGCATTCTAAATTCTAATAATCGGTCTGAGTAAAGAAAAGGCCCAATCTTCATTTTTACTTCAGTTATATATTTATTTTTTCATTCCTTGAACTAACCACGGTGGCTCCCACATCTAGCTGCTACATCACAGTGGCTCCCACATCTAGCTGCTACACCACGGTGGCTCCTACATCTAGCCACTACACCACGGTGGCTCATACATCTAGCTGCTACAACACGGTGGCTCCCACATCTAGCCACTACACTACGGTGGCTCCTACATCTAGCCACTACACCACGGTGGCTCCCACATCTAGCTGCTACAACACGGCATCTAGCCACTACACCACGGTAGCTCCCACATCTAGCTGCTACAACACGGTGGCTCCCACATCTAGCTGCTACACTATGGTGGCTCCTACATCTAGCTGCTACAACACGGCATCTAGCCACTACACCACGGTGGCTCCCACATCTAGCTGCTACACCACGGTGGCTCCCACATCTAGCTGCTACACCACGGTGGCTCCCACATCTAGCTGCTACACCACGGTGGCTCCCACATCTAGCTGCTACACCACGGTGGCTCCCACATCTAGCCGCTACACCACGGTGGCTCCCATATCTAGCTGCTATACCACGAGGGCTCCCACATCTAGCCACTACACCACGGTGGCTCCCACATCTAGCTGCTACACCACAGTGGCTCCCACATCTAGCCACTACACCACGGTGGCCCCCACATCTAGCCACTACATCACGGTGGCTCCCACATCTAGCCACTTCACCACGGTGGCTCCCACATCTAGCCGCTACAACACGGTGGCCCCCACATCTAGCTGCTACAACACGGTGGCTCTCACATCTAGCCACTACACCACGGTGGCTCCCACATCTAGCCACTACACCACGGTGGATCCTACATCTAGCCGCTACACCACGATGGCTCCCACATCTAGCTGCTACAACAAGGTGGCTCCCACATCTAGCTGCTACACCACGGTGGCTACCACATCTAGCCACTACACTATGGTGGCTCCTACATCTAGCTGCTACAACACGGCATCTAGCCACTACACCACGGTGGCTCCCACATCTAGCTGCTACACCACGGTGGCTCCCACATCTAGCTGCTACACCACGGTGGCTCCCACATCTAGCTGCTACACCACGGTGGCTCCCACATCTAGCTGCTACACCACGGTGGCTCCCACATCTAGCCGCTACACCACGGTGGCTCCCACATCTAGCTGCTACACCACGGTGGCTCCCACATCTAGCCACTACACCACGGTGGCTCCCACATCTAGCTGCTACACCACGAGGGCTCCCACATCTAGCCACTACACCACGGTGGCTCCCACATCTAGCTGCTAAACCACAGTGGCTCCCACATCTAGCCACTACACCACGGTGGCTCCCACATCTAGCCACTACATCACGGTGGCTCCCACATCTAGCCACTTTACCACGGTGGCTCCCACATCTAGCCGCTACAACACGGTGGCCCCCACATCTAGCTGCTACAACACGGTGGCTCTCACATCTAGCCACTACACCATGGTGGCTCCCACATCTAGCCACTACACCACAGTGGATCCTACATCTAGCCGCTACACCACGATGGCTCCCACATCTAGCTGCTACAACAAGGTGGCTCCCACATCTAGCTGCTACACCACGGTGGCTCCCACATCTAGCTGCTACACCACGGTGGCTCCTACATCTAGCTGCTACAACAAGGTGGCTCCCACATCTAGCTGCTACACCACGGTGGCTCCCACATCTAGCTGCTACAACAAGGTGGCT